TTGAGGCTTAAATGAGTTAATACATGTAGAGTACTTAGAACAAAACCTGGTACATACTAAATACTGTTTAAATGTATCATAGAAACCAATAAAATCCAGTAAAATCTATCAGTAGTAACTCTGCCATAGAACAGAAAAATTTTCTCTTGAATCTTGACCTCAAAACCCTCATGACCATGAAACCATAAAAGCTAAATAAGCATTTTCTTTAAGAGATCATTAAACCATTCTTTTTATTTGAAGGGGGAAGGGAGGAATGTACAGTTTTTCTTTTCCCATTTCTTCATATGATTTTAAGAAGTAACTATTAAATCACTAAGAGAGGTCTGAAAAATGTAACTTTAGTAAAAAGTAGTCATAACTCCTACCCCTGCTCTTAACCCAGCCCCAAGGATTCTGGAACTTACTAATATCTAGGCTCAACCAACCCTTCTAAATAAAAGAAAAAACATACTAAATGTTAGTCAAGAGCTGTGCCCCAAGGTAACAATCAAATTGAACAGTTTAAGTGGCACGCCATGCCATGCCATGCCATGGAGAATAAATACACAACTGAAGATTAAAGGAAGACCTTTTTGTTAATCCCTGTGTGGTATGATCTACTGCTTGGTTTCGGGTCTTACGGAATAAATCTACCTCAGCAAATAAGTTTTTGAAGACTCAAAAGAAGTAATTGATTTTGAGGGTTACCAGGGAGTAGAATGTGAATGAACTTGAATTTCTATTCAAAATGAATAAAGCCCCAGAACAAAGTCTGACTTACTCCACTGTTATATTTGCTTAAGGGTGAAAGGTTTGCCTCTAATAGTGTGGAGAGACAATTGAGAGCTAATGAAAGAGCCCCCAGCAGTGCCTGGTATATTACCATGTGACAGAAGTGCCACCACTGGATCCAGGAGATCTCTGACTTTCACCAGAAGCTCCACGAGAGAGCTTAAATTAAAGTTGCAGATTGAACATGCCAAATGTGAAAATTTAAGATCCGAAATGCTCTAAATCTGAAACTTTTTGAATACCAACCTGATGCTTAAAGAAATGCTCATTGGAGCATTTCAGATTTTGGGTGTTCGGTTTAGGGATGCTCAAACCATAAGTATAATGTGAATATTCAAAAAAAAAAAAAAAAAAAACCAAACCCTCCCTAACTCATTTTATGAGGCCAACATCATCCTGATACAATAGCCTGTCTCAAAAAAAAAAAAAAAAACCCAAACACTTCTTGTCCCAAGCATTTTTGATAAGGGCTACTCAACATGTGCCATATACTGTGTAGCTTTTTCTTCCATGGTGGTGGCACACTTTTGGCTCTTACACCAACTTACATTGCTTCTTACTAAGATGCCCCTAAAGACTCCAAAAGAGAGGCAGCCATTTTGTTTACCCATTAGGGTAGTCCAAAGTCCTTGACACTCTGGGCTCACCATTCTGAGCCTGGGCGGGTCGACAAGGGTGGGGCCCCAAGGCCTGGGTAGTGCTAGCATTATTGCTGTTTTTTCTAGGGGGATGAGGCTTTGCAGGCGAGACCTGTTTCTTTAGGTCTTGTGACTGTTTTAAAACTCTTCGCTTTATATTAGGGCCTCATCCCACTAAAACAGATTTGCTTTCCAGATTCTGAATTCCCTTCATGTGAAATAGTGCATGGTGGTCTGACTAGTGGTTATGAGACAAAAGACAGAGTTTTTTCTAACTTTAATATTTTATGTGTCTTTTCTCTTTCCATTTTTCTTATAACTTCCTCATCTCTCTTTTCAGTTCTGGTATTATTTAGTGTTTCTGTAGGACGTTACAGCTGAGTTCCCTGTGACCATTTTTAGTAGTTACACAACAAATCATGTACAGGGCATGAGCCAGCACTTAGCCAAATAATGAAACAGAAGAACTCTGCCAAACTCAGCATCATAATTTCCCTTAATACAACTCTACTGTATCATTTAGTTTGGTCTCTTTTTAAAACTTGAGCCTCCGTCAGTCTATTTTAGGGAAGGGTACTACAAGGTCTATTGCATAAATGATTTGACTTGCAATTGAACTAAGAATACAATGAACCATTTCTTAGAGTTATTTTTTAGAAGAATAAGAAAGGCTTATTTGAAAAAAAAAAGTGTTTTCTGAATATAACTATCTTGGGTCTAAAATTTTTGCTCATTTCCTAAAGTCCTTTACCACTTTGGAACTGCTTTGTATTTTGTAGAACAGGTTTTGTATTCTAATATAGAAATTCTTAACTTGCCTTGCTACCTAAATTCAAATGCATTCCAGAATAATCGCTGGCACATAGTAGGTGTTCAGTAACTATTTGTTGACCCCATAGCTTTCTACATTTCTTCTTACTAGGGCATTGTCTCCTGTTAAGCATAATATTCAACAAATGTCACATGCTATTCAGTGATTTTTCATTTCGTAGCCACTTGCATAACTTTTACCTCTTTAAAATCTAGCCATTTTGCAGTCTCATCAATGTGGAACCCAACTAAAACTAAAGTAGAAAATAACCAGTGCCTAAGATTACAGTTTCCTGTCATCTGGCAGGGAAACATGATACATCTGGGAAATCTTTTCATCACAAATGCTTGATAAGGTACAGTACTGGAATCCAATGTTGTGAGGTGACTGTCAGCAAGTTGCTTAATCTCTTTGGCTTTGGCTTTGGTTTTCTTATTTATCAAATGTGAGAGCAACACTCAGTGATCCTATGGTCCCTTCCAACTCTAAGACTTCTGTGAGCCTATGCTTCTCAAGCCACCTCTCCCCTCCAGTCCTGTTTGCTCCTTTATAAAAGGAGAGGGAGACATGTAGGGAAGCCTTAACAATCTGTGACTTTAAAGGAATGAACTTTTAGCTGTCCAGCAAATCTGGCTATCCAGAAAAGGCCATTCCTCCAGGGTATATTGGTTAGCCAAAATTTTACTGTACATTAATACATAGTTAGGACTAATTTAGTGCCTAGGAAAACATTTGGGAATGGTTAAAACTGTGGAAAAATCTTAATTCTTGGTAGGGAATGTTGACTTTAGTGTATACAATTACCATTTTATTGTTAACACGTATTCCCCCCTTTTAGGCTAGAGCCTTGTTTAGGATGAGGGGAATGGATGTGCGCATGCATCACGTAGGAGCCTGATTGTTTATTTTTTCTCCTGACACTACTAATCCCCTGTTCCTGTTCCTAAGGGTACTGCTGATAAGTGATATCCAAAGTAACACTCCAGAGCAGGTGAAGTGCATTGCCGGGCTGCCCTGCATCCCAGCATCTGTTCCCTGTTGTGGTATCTGCCTCCAAAAGTCTATGTTTGCAGAACTGGTGGGTACTTATACAGAAGAATGCACTAATCCTCTGATATTGACTCCAAAAGAGGAGGGTGGGGCAGAAAGAATGAGGAGACAGGAACTTTTAATTAGCTGCTAGAATGCTATGCCTAGCCCCAGTCCTTTCTAAGCATTGAAGAAAACAAGTGACCGGATGGAATCAGCTCTTCTATACCCCAAATAATTTCACCTTATAAAATTAGATGAAATGAAGTCCCATTTCTCTGGAGAGGACGGCCAGCCCAATCTGACTTGAGTAATGTTTCCGTCATTCTTCCTTTCCTTCCTCACGAACTTCCAGTCGTAGCCCCATGTGTACTGCCATATGGTGTCCCAATTTGTTTCCTTCCTTCCCTGCTTGCCTCCCTCCCTCCCTCCCT